TTAAAAAATTTAAATTTAAAAAAAAAAAAAAAAAAAAAAAAAAAAAAGAAAGAAAGAAGTATAAAAAAGGAAAAAATTAACATAGATACGCTAAAAGGAAGACAAAATAATGAAATAGGAAATCCCAGCTTGAACAAAACGGCACAAAAAAATAACATCTTTTTAAGGACAATGTTTTGGAATCAGAACAGAGCTGCAAAGAAGAAGAAAAAAAGGGAAAAAAAATTACCTCCAATGCAAGTTGACTGAGTCTTCTATACGATGATGATGTGGTTCTCCTAACAGAAGAACTAGCTTTTCCAGTGTCTTCAGGAGTTTTAGTCACAGATTTATTCATATTTACAGCAGCTGCCTTTTGACGAGTACCCCTCTTAGAACTGTGTTTAGTTTTTACATTAGTCAAATCATCATTAGGTCGATAATTTGGCAGTGCAAGAACCAGGGTTTTAGGACTTCTCTTCCTTGTATTACTATCCCAGCCTTGGTCATCACTTGAATCCATAGAAATACTCGCGTACGTGTCATCACTTGAGTCAGTAGGAACATTCCCGTATGTCTCCTTCAATAATGAAAGAGAGAAATAATTTAAATGTATGGGAATTCTTTAACTCATTCAGTCTAAAACTAAGCATGGGCCCTGTTAAATATCTAGACTTCGTCTATTAAACATTTAATGCCCGGTAAATTCATTTTATTCACACAAGACACATAAACATGTTGGACTAAAGCCATCTTGATGGGAACAAGGCCTTGTTTTCATTTATTATTATCATTATTTTGACAAAAGAACAAAGAACAAAAGTAGCTAAAAAATAATTTACAAGAGGATAAAAGAATGAGAAATCATTTACAATTGATGGAAAATTTTCAAGATAAGAGCCTAATATTAACCAAAACATCACTTAATTGATTAAGACACTAGTAACCTTCCAATCAAATATTTGAATTCCCCACCTAACATCTATAAGTTGTATTCTTTAGAACAAAGCAAAAGAAAAAAGGAAAAAAACGACATGTCAATCAACTATGCTTGCATAATGTTGAGAGATAGTCGCCCATATACTTCAAAGAATACATTGGAAAATAGCAATGTAATTTTTTCTTGCATAAGAATA